AAACGAATGCCACCAATTGATTTTGGACACAAGTAATGGAAGTTTATTTAAAATAACTAACTACTCATGAAGACAAAATCTTCTTCATTATTTACACATCGAAAACGATACAGTTTAGTGATAAAACGCCAAATGAATTACTTATAATTTATTAACCTTAAAATCCTACATATAGGAGAAAAAAATGTACTCAAATGAACAATATTTACTTGGACCGCGACTTCACGTTTTTTCATGCTTTGATTTTTACTACTATGTTTGGAATCGATGAGTGTTTCATTGAGCGAGCTATATAAACCGCAGATGATTACGTTCAGATTCTTTCTGGATGCGGTTTAGTTGAAGCGTTCGCGAGCGATTGAGTTGAGGTGCTGGACGGATGCGTGCGATTATAATTAGGATTGTATTTCTGATTCCGACGAAGCTCGGTATGGCGGACACCAGTGAATTCCATCTGAGTCATTGTGCCCGTTCTGTAGCCTTTATTTTCGTAAAACACTTAAGCCTTTCACGTGCATCATTGTTTAACATTAATCTTTGCAAGTTTTGCCCCTATTAGTATTATAATTTTGGTTTTGGATTTAAGTACTATTAAGCAAAGCTATTTAATATCTACATACTGTATGCAAATTGTTTTCCTTATAACCGATACTTTTATTTATCTATATACCATATACTAAGAGGGTATCTCTATACCTACATATATGTAACTAGCATTGCCCGCGGCTCAGCCCGCGTTCAGATGACCAAAAACCAAATTCTTAGGTTTTACATATTAGTAGGTACCTATACTCTTACAGTGCAGTTTTTGTATTTTTTCTCAGAAATGAGATATTTTCCCACGGTAAAAAGTATCCTATATGTTGACGCGGATAGCCAGCTATCATCATACAAAATTTCATCAAAATCCCTCTAGTGGTTTTTCTGTGATGCGGTAACAGACAGACAGACATACAGACAAAAATTCTAAAAACTATGGATTCGGCCTCTGTATCGATAATAATGTTTATTTCATTAAGATTTTCCAAAAAATATTTAATGTACAGATTCGGCTCAGTTACAATTTTATTATATTATATATATGTAATAAAACTATAGAGGTCGATTGTCTGTAGATAAAAAAAATGCTGAAACCGAATCAGGGGATGTAAGAAGAGAAATAGAACAAATCCAGATTTTTTTCAATTTTTTTGTTTCTCTATCTGTCTGCTTGTACGGGCTAATCTCCGAAACTGTTGGACCGATTTAAATGAAATTGCATAGTGGTACCTTATATCCCTAGTAAAAATTTTAGATACTTTACATCCCGGAAAATTAAAGAGTTCCCGTGGGACAATTATAATATTACAGTAACTTATAGAGCTTAGTACACAATAACTACTGATTGGATTTTAATGAAACATTACAATAATATATGTAGTTCATATTTACATCAGAATAACAAATAGGCTACTATTTAGTTTTTATCCCGGAATAATGTACGGTTCCCGTGGGATAGATTTGTTGGTTTACTAGCGGCTCACCCTCGCTTCGCTCAGGTTCGCCTCAAGACAAACAAATAATACATTTAAATACTATATTTAAAAAAAACACTTAAAAATCAAAGCAAGCAAGTGAAGTCGAAACCTAAACATAGTCTCTGTGCAATATTATATCCGTAAGTACTTATTATAATATTTATCCATTCAACGTCGACTAATAAATCAAAAGTTTATAAGGTGACAAAAAAGAATAAGGAGAATAGTTAATTAATTTTTCATACTGGCATACAATTACAATTGTTGACAAGTTGATTATGTAATATGTAGGTTTATCATGTTACGGAAGCCAAAAAATTATGTCTATCCTTCGGAACTTTACATTAATGACAAAAGTATATTTTATACAAAACAAGCAATATAGTAATTAAATAAATTGTTGCGGATATAACAATTAAATTAGTTTGTCACCCTTGTGCCATTAACCTAGTCATAACGAAAATCTAGAAACTATTAAATTTAAAAAAAAATGTTGAAAATACATTATTTAGTACCAAAGCTTTGTATTGAAAATAATATATAAACACCAAGAGAGAAAGACTTCACAATTTAAATATTTTACGCAATTATTAAATTAAGCACACACCTCACTCACACAAGCGGAGTTATTGCGAAAAAATACAAATAATTAGCTGTAATATAGTGTGATGGAAACAAGCCGGTTGCCACGCGCGATTGGCGACATATTTTCCGAGCGAAGCGCAGAACAGGTTTGTGCATAAGGGAGGTGCATGTTGCTGCTCGCGAGTTGCGATACCGCATACTCGCTTGCCACACTACATTATGTGCCACTTAGGACGCCTCTAATATGTATGCTATAATTAAAGAATTATCAAACATAGCAAATAAATGGTACATATTTTTCTTATCTAATCTACTCGCAACATCTGTTTGTCTCTTTTTGTCGCTTTGTTTTTGGTCTTTCTACTCAGCTAGATTATAAATTACTTCAAAGTTTTTAGTTATTATTTATAAAGATTCAGAGAAACAGTACTTATTTAAATAAAAACTATTTACTATTTTCCCGAAAAATATTATTTTCTAATCTATTCAATAATATTATGCAATAACAATAATTTTTAAAGTCGTGCTAGACAGCTGATTCAATATATTATTATGTTATATTTAAACTCAGTTTCACTCAGTGGATGAAAATCCACAGAAGTTATATATATAATAAAAAAATTCAAAAACTTATACTATATTAATAGAGATATTAGTAGTTAGTAGAAATTATCCCAACTTACAAAAATATGGGTTAGGTTCTTTTTTATATCATAATTTATTCTAAACTAAATCAAGATTTAAATTGCCAATACTAAATTTTAAAGTCATTAGATATAACGTAGTTATAATAAATATACATGTCGAAAAGAATGTAAAAATATAAATAACAATACTTTTAATGAGTTTAATAAATAGGTTCATTAAGTTTTTGTTCCTTTTAAATTCTTTAAATGAAACTTATCGATGTCGACCACGACCACTAAAATTCGTAACCAAAACGTAGTAGAAGTTTTCAAAACAATGAAAATTTTAAATATATTATATGTTTTTTTTCCGTATAAATGACGAATATGGTTGATATTCGTGACATTGTAATATTTGTAGAGAGAAAAATACTTATATGTCAATAGAACGTTAGTTATAGTTAAGCAAAACATGGGTACTACATTCGTTTAGTTCAGTGTAGTTTATTTAAAGCTTTATTTTTTGCACTTGGAAAAAAGAACACAGTGACATCTCATTCAATAACTTATTTCTGTTCATATATCAGATAATGATGTGAAATGCCAGCATATTCCATTGTCGGTAATTACTACGATAAAGTTTTTTTTTTTTAATTAAATCCATCCAGGGTAATAGAATAATAAAAAAAAAACAATATCTTATGATAAAGAATGTTAAATGTGATAAATATATCGTATCTACAACAAGCGTACGTTTTAGGTCATTTTAAAACTAACGGGCATACTCAATGGGCATATGGCATGTAGTTCCCATGCCACGTTGCGAGTCTGCCGAGATGGCGTTTAAATAACTCGATTCTATATGAAACAGAGCAAGTGTACTTAACAATCATTATCCATGAGGAAAATGTTTTTTACTGTTCGCACTCAGTACAACGACAATGAACTATTTAAAATCCGATTGCACAATTTATCGACGCTAGGAAGATTCTAAACTTAATTATCTAAGCACAAAATCTATTTTGCTTTACATCTACATAATTCCCTTTTATCACGTACTGAAGCAATATTTTCATGGTCATTTCAAGTAACTGTAGGTACAAAATATTACGTGCTTTTTATTTGGTTAACTCGTTATCAGATACGATTCAACGCTACATCGTTATCTGCTGTGATAAGATTCCAACATAGAAAAAGGAAATCGTACTAAATATATTGTAATTAATAAGATGAAATTAAAACATAGGTTTCTAAATTATGTCGTTCAAATGTATACCGACTTTTGAAAATGTGGGTTTGATTGGTAAGGAGAAAGGTATTTAAATAAAATTAAAAAAATAACTAATTGTATGGCAATGTCTTACTTATTATCTTATATTTATTTCAAATTTTAACTAACTAAAATAATTAGCGTTATTGGAAATTAACAATAATCAAGCTACTTCTCAACAAGAAGTAAAATTTATTTAAACAATTACGATAAGATTTGTTTTTTTAAATAGATCTACTTATTGGTCGGATTATGTGTAGGGAGGCGCATCGGAACGCGGACAAATTCGCGTGCGCCGCTTTCCTGACTTTCCAGTCGACAGACTGCAGGCTGCCGGTCGAAAATTATAGCGTATCAATAAATAATTTCATCAATAGCTCGGTTCACGCGCACGCATTAATATTGTTTATAAAATGTGTAAATATGTAACTTAATTACAATATATACTTTATATAATTAAAATTGTCAAATGAACGTTATCAAAATTTTGTAGGTACTATGCCTTACCAAAATATGTCGGCGTAATTGTAATTTAAAAATAAAAAAGTTACTTTGTTATTTTAATATATCAAAAGGTAAGTAAAATGTTTGAACACTGACGGCGATGACGGTAAGGCAAGGACATTGCAGGACGAGTCACATGTCCTCTAACGTCATGCTCAGGTAGTGACCAGAGGACGATATGCCCATTGTTGAGCGTCGTTAATTATTTATTATACTTCGACAAAGTTACAATGTTTAATGTAGATAGAACCAATGCTTTTAATACTACAGTATCAATTAAATAAACAATAATATTTATCCATGTTACAGCTTTTTTTATATGTGGAAAAAATATATTTTTAACATGTTGTAGTTTTCCAATATCAAATAACCATACATCGAGCTCTAATAAATTCATACATCAATTGTACTAAGAGCAAATCATAATGGCATTTAGTGAAAGATCACAGCGACTATCATACTCGCAGTATCGCGCTCGATTGGGGACCGTTACGTGAAATGAAACATCGAGTACGCGGGGTGGGGCAGGGAGTCGACTTGATGACGATGGCGCCCGAGCTCGGCCGAGTACCGAATGCCGAGACGTCGACACACGGGGGGACGCGGGGGTGCGCCACTTTATCGCGGCGAGCTGGCAACATCGCGCGGGGTGGGAGCGCCCCGCAACGCAACCTCTCACTCACCGTCGCCGGTTTGCCAGCCAGTGTTACCTTTGACGGTCGAACGTGTGGTTGTTTAATGTCAGTGACGTCGGCGTCAGCACTCGTGCAACACGTCTATAATGTTTCGTTAAATTCAGTCTGTTTGAGAACGATAACAAGTATTCTACTGTCGAATGCTTTAATTTAGTGACAATTGCGAGCCATATTGGATTTGGATGCTTACGTTAAACTGTGCAGTGACATCTCGGTTTTTGAGACATCGAAACAGTGCAGTGAACCACTAAAAGGATTGCCAAGTGTTATAAAATTTGGATATTTGAAGAAGATATTGGGAGTGACAATAATTGCTATTTAAGTGCTAATGACTAAAAAAGAAAAATTAGTGAATTAAAGTAAACTTTAAAGGTGCGTGAATAAGTTTGCAAATAAATGAATTTATATTATTTAAATTTTCAACTTATAACAATTCTAAAATATTTTTAATACAGTATAAAAATATCATTGTACAACTATGATGTTAAATTTGAAAGAAATTCACCGCTACGTTCGTAGAGTTTTGCTACGCTAAATGCGCTCCAGCTGATCGTACACAGAAAACACGCTTGAACCGTTATTATTATGATGTAAAAAAATATTTTTAAAAGCTTAAAAATTATAATTTTCATGCCAAATTCTCTAAGGTGTTTTTGAATATATTGAAATAGTGACATTCGAGGAATGAACAATATATCAATTGGCATTTATATCATGCTATAATTAATATTTAAATAATTGTTTATGAGCGTCGTCTGTATAATAGACGTGTTGTCTTAACTTATTATTATGTACGGTCGATTGAAAGTGACACGAATGCACCAAAGTTAAAGCAAATGGAATATTTTTTAAATTGACAACAAGGTCGAAATGCATCATGAAGGTTACCTACAGTGAAGTGCATCGTGTTTCAGGGGGTGCGGTGAATCGACAGGACGGCGAACTCTGGTAATACGGCAGGATACGCGGGAACAAGCATAAGTTACGTGGGAGCACACGCTCCCGACACTGAAAAGCATCATAATTACCACGATAACATAGGCTACAGAGTAAACGCGCCAAGGTGAGTAAACTAATATAACTGCCGTCAAAATTATGACTATGTATTTTTATGATAATTTTATACGTAGTAGAATTTCAATACTAAAAGAGGGTATAAAATATTTTGTTATGTTAATTAAAAGTAATTTAAGGTTTTTAACCACATACGTAGTATACAATATTGTGTTTTTATCTTATCCGAAACAAGTTTGTTTACATTTCAAACAAAACGCTGAAACGTGACTAGCTTACCTTTGCTTACCTTATCGTAGTTAACAAGTAATAAAAACAAAAATAGCATTTACGTTAATTATCGCAGCTGTGAATTCTTAACTTATCGCAGTTAAAAGAAATCGTTTGTAATATTAAAAAGTCAAGAATCTATTTCTCATACGGAAGCCCTTTATTAGCAAAGGGTTACTTACACACGGTGTTAATGTAACGATGTGAATCGCGCGATGCACATCACTGCAATTATAATGAAAGAAATGAAAATGTGCTCTTCCATTCACACGCGCAAACGCTTTCGGCACCCAATATACGCACACAATCAAACGTACGCGCACACTTCACTATCTCACGCACACATAGGGCTTTACACACACACTCATACGAAGGGAATGCAAGCGGTGACTGCACTTTAGCTTTTACAATAAACACAAACAAACAATACATTAACAATACACAGAGCGCATCAAATAGTTAGGACTCATTAAAATTAATAATATTTTAAAATCAATATACCTTCTTTTTAGTTCGTATAAATTTGCATTTTTTCTTTAAAAACAATAAAAAAATTAAAATTGGCAATAAAATAAATTATTAAGTCTTTAAGGAATTCTGATCTTTCAAAAACCTTGTTTAATTAAGCATTAATTTTACTGTTCTATTACGTGATGCATATTATTGTTTTATTTTTAACTATTTCATGTTCCACCAAAACCAATGTCAAGGTATTATGTGAGTTTTAATATGTAGGTATTTTAAATATAATAATTATCTCAAAATCATTGAAATCATAGCACACATGTAAATGACTCAGAATAAAAAAACTCGATGTGATGAATAGACAAGTCAAAAGATCCTTAAATATTGAAGTTAGAATACCAAAACGCCAAAATTTTTTGAGTCTTCCAGTTACTGTCTTAGCAAATCTGAAAGCAGTCGTTAACATATTTGTTTTTAATGCATCTAAACATATGATTCCCAAAACATTTTTGTTTTCCATCTTTTAAAATTAAATTTATCTCATACAGGAAAACAAATTGTTATCGCAGCGTTGTAATAAAGCTCCATATTGACGTGAGCGGGCCCACTTACCCTAAGCGGGCGACTCGGGCTAGTCGACCCTTCCCACTCATTGTGTCGTATTCACCCCAAACGCTCGCCTCCATTTGTTACCCCCGGAATTTGCTCCTTGAAGCATGATTCATTCGCTTCCAACTCTGGCGTCAATTCATGGGAATAAGATAAAAATAGGTGCAATAATAATTCAAATAGCTTCAACAAAACAAAAATGTTATATGGGTTAAAAAAGTTTTAAGGCAGAATTTAAAAGTATATTTTGTTACTCAGAAAGGATTGCAAAATTATATCAATTAAAAATAAAATATAAAATTAAAAACACATTTTATTGTTTTTATAGTACCATTTGCAATATCATTGATTATAAATTATAAAACGTTAATAACATTATATGTTAGCAATGTGCGCACAAGCCAGAATTTTGAAGAGGCATTTAAATGGGGGTGACCAACTGTCGATGAACTTTAGGGTCGGAACATGCCACGGTTTCACGCTACTTCGATAATAATCTATACAAAAATTAAAATTGTTAATCATTTATTTACATTGCATCCATATCTACATACGTTTGGCAAATTGATAACTGTAAACACGACTAATGCTCAAGCAGTTTATAAATATTAACTTATTACCTATGAAGTGTGCCCCTAATACCGCCGAATTTAATGTAAATACTATACATACTATAGTTAATTGCTCAGGATCTTAACGTAGTTCTAATCGAGAAATCAATCTAACACGTGATTATTACTTCTGCCAATTAGCTAAGAATTCACCACGTCTGCGCAACAATCTAAAATTAACTGCAGCCTATGTATCAAAATACCTACACGTTACTCGCCCATCTCTCAATAGTATGCCAAACACCTTCCAGTCTTTGAAAATAGCAGCACAGTCATTGAAAATTATTTATTTAGTTGTGATACTTTCAAATAAGTAAGAAATAACTCGTCCTTAAAAATATTTAACGCAATCAACGTTTGTTATATGTTTAAAAAATATCGATAGCATCGTACAATGTAGATAACATTTGAAGATACGAGTTCACGAAACGCAGACATTTTGTCGGAGTGTTTCTGTATGTACCTTCGTAAAAGCTTTGTTAACGAATGTTCCACGAATTGTCTCAATAGAAATGCCGTTGCCAACCGCTTGCATTCAAGACCCCAAATATTTTGAACGGAGCGTAAATGATTATTCGGATGTGGTACCACAAAAAAAATCAGGATGCAGAACACTCTTGATTTTTTGTCAGGCGGGCGCTGTATTCAACAAAAAGAAAACGTCTCAGACAAATTTATAAAAAGAAGTGTAGGTCGGCCCGAGTTTACCTAAGAAAGGGCCCTTGTAAATCATCTGCAGTCTCAATTGTACGTCGAGTTGAGCGTTGTTGACTTGTGTTTATTGGCTGTCGACGCTACTAAGTATCTGTTAAGCTATTTATTTATTCAAAAGTGTTTAGAAGTGATATAAGCTTAAATTATCGTAAATTATCGTTTAACTGTGATATCTCACTGTATATACAGAGTTCCATAATAATTGTTTGTGTTATTAATATGTAAGAATAAGATTTTTATTCATTTATCGAACAATGTTTAGTTTTAAATAAAATCATCTTTTCGGATTTTTCGGGGATTTTTTTTTTTTGGTTCCCGATATTTCGAATACTTTACAGCAATCATGGTCACGGGAGAGCCTTTAAGTTTATATTGTTGTTACAAACGGCACCTACCCACAAAATTACAAAATGATTTAAAAAAATACAAAAATGGCACCAAAGTACCTTTACCTTAACATATTTGTTAAATAGCATAAAAAAACTTTATTCATTAGTAATCTTAATTTAGTGTTGTTATTATAAATTTCAAATATTCTCATAACTCTAAAAGTTTAGTTCCCATATTGTTTTTATATTATACGTTAGTAATATTCATTAAAAAACCCATAATACAATAGACCACATTGTTGCACTACTACAGAAGCGCTAGTAACAATAAGCCCGTGCGAGTGTTTGTCGGCCATTTGTCGAATGGGAATTATTAGGAAGGGCTCCGGGAAGGCTCGGGAATTCGCCCCAAAAGCAGTTCACATGAATCGTTCTCCCACTCCGGTACTATAGAAAAACTCAAACACATCCCGATTGAAACACAGGGGTAACAACGAGTCACTCAATATAAACGACCATATTGATTTTTTCTTTCATTGTTCATAAAATAATAAATCTTCAGAGCATATTAAAGAATATCCTATGTCGATATTTTTTGGGTTCAATATTGAGTCTAAGTTTATTAATAAAATCGATGCGTTAACGTGTGGAATGTAAAATGTAAGACTCTGCAAGGCCACTTGCAATGGAATAGAAACTATTCATATCGTAGGTGAAATAAAATTAACTAGAATGATTTCACGTTCGAGTATATACTAGACGTTTATAACAATAGTATGATTGTTACACGTTTATTTTTACATTCTGCCTTTAAAATCGAAAATATTATACCTACATATAGCGAGATTACTTCTAAAAACAAAAAAATTGTCAATTTTTTTTATAAATCATTATAATCATAATATCTTACTTTGAAGATTTTAATAGTAATTTCATGGACATCTTATTCTTACTTTATTATCACGTAGTATACCCGTGATACGTTGACATAACGTTTTATGGCGATAGTATAGCTGCAACAATGTTTTATTTATCAGCGGCTATGGGTGCGCCGGCGGTCCGGGCGCGATGAGCGGCGGGGGCGAGAACGCGCAGTTCGGCGCCACCGCCGCGATGGTCGCCGCGGCCACGACGGCCGCGATGCAGGACTCGCAGCCCTTCTCGCAGGTAAAGATTTTTTTAAATATATGAAAAATGCGAGTAAACCGCGTACCTACCACAGATGTATTAAGAATAAAGTGTTATTTTTATTTATATACTCTGATTTACAGATGCAAAACAACATGACTATGGGAAATCCTCAATATAGTGCGATGAACGGCTACGGTCAGCAACGCAGCCATAATCCCGGGATGACGGGAATGGGAATGGCTGGTAACGGGGGCATAAATGGTATGACTGGCATGAGCCAAATGGGAAATGCTATGAATGGTATGAATCCTATGGCTCAAATGGCCAACATGGGATTGCATGGAAACATGATGTCTTCTCAAATGGGACCAGGACAAATGAGTGGTTCAGCTAAAATGGGCCCAGGATATCAAAGGCGGCATGCACCATATCCTTCAGGAACGATGCTTATGGGGTCAAGAAAAACACAATATATGGGTGCTCAGCCAGGATTCGGTCCAGGTCCTGCTCAATATCCTACGGGCTACGGTGGAAGACCGAGTTTTCAAGGCCAATATCCGCCACAACAGGCACTCGGCCCAAGCAGTAATTTTGGTACTGGGATGAGAAGTAATATGAGACAGTCAACGCCTCCTTATTCAAATCAGGGACAATATTTTAATGGTGGAGTTCCGAACCAATTTCCTCAGCATCAAGGCGGAAATGGGCAATATGGTGGGCAGTATGGAGGACAATTTGCGCAAGAAGTCGCGATGCGATCTAACATGAGCTACCAGCACAGTCCAGTGCCTGGAAATCCTACACCACCCCTTACGCCTGCAAGCAGTATGCCACCATATATCAGCCCAAATGCTGATGTAAAGCCTCACTTTAACGAGCTCAAACCACCGATGGGCATGCAAAGTAAGACATTTGTGCAATTTTGATAAAATAAAATAGGCAAAGTTAATATTTTGTGACTAATAAATTCCATTCTTAATTTTCAGACGACGAGCTCCGGTTAACATTCCCCGTAAGAGATGGTATTATATTGCCACCTTTTAGATTAGAACATAATTTAGCAGTTAGCAATCATGTATTCCAATTAAAACCTACGGTGCACTCAACTTTAATTTGGAGGTAAATATGCTCTTCAGTTATCTATATCCACAAAAATGTATATTTATGAATCAAAAACAAATTCAAGCTGGTTGCATACTTATGTAATGTTATGATATTATTTTTAGATCAGATTTAGAGCTGCAGCTTAAGTGTTTTCACCATGAGGATCGTCAAATGAATACTAACTGGCCTGCAAGCGTGCAGGTATCAGTTAATGCAACACCATTAGTCATTGACAGAGGCGAAAACAAAACATCACACAAACCATTGTACCTGAAAGAAGTTTGCCAACCCGGCAGGAATACAATACAGATCACTGTCTCTGCTTGTTGTTGTGTAAGTTTTTATACATATATTAACCCTGTTCATATTTTTTAGATATCGTTAATCAATTTATAATTATCTGTGTCCTCTCTTTTTAGTCGCACCTGTTCGTTTTACAATTAGTACATCGGCCGAGCGTTCGGAGCGTATTACAAGGATTACTACGAAAGCGGTTGCTCACAGCGGACCACTGCATTGCTAAAATAAAAATGAACTTCAATCAAACTTCATCTAACACTAACAATAACTCCAACCCCTCAGGCGACAGAGATAGCGTTGAACAAACAGCTCTAAAAGTGTCGCTAAAATGTCCTATTACATTCAAAAAAATAACATTGCCTGCGCGAGGACATGAATGTAAACATATACAATGTTTTGACTTAGAATCATATTTACAACTTAATTGTGAAAGAGGATCGTGGCGATGTCCAGTTTGCAAGTAAGTTTGCAATTTCGTAAAATGCTTTTACTTTATAATGAAATGAAATTTTAACTGTTCAGAACATTTAATAACATTTTATTTTACTACAGTAAACCAGCTCAGCTAGAAGGCTTAGAGGTAGATCAATATATGTGGGGCATCCTTAATACATTAAACACCTCGGATGTAGATGAAGTAACGATCGATAGTGGGGCAAATTGGAAAGCAACGAAGATTAACGCTAATGCTGGTATAAAGGTAAATAGTACAGTTATATCGATTTAAATAATGCTTTACAAATATTATATTAGATATTGCAAAAATTGACATTAAATTTAGTTTTGTTTTATTAAGTATGAATTGATTAACATTACATTACTTGCAGCAAGAAGAAGATAGTAGTGATGGCACTGGGAAGAGAAGCAAAGCAGTATCACCCGGATCAATGAATATGCCAACTATGAATAATTGGGACATGAACCAAGCCCTTTCCCCTTACCTACCTCCTGATATGAATACAATTGCAAGTGGCTCTATGATATCATCCTATAATCAAGGAGGCCAAAATAGAAACTCTGGATCAAGTAATCAGAACTATGATTTTGGCATGAACAATGGGCCGGGAAGCAATGAATTCGCAGGCAACGGACCACTATCACACTTGAATGAGAGTGTTAACTCATTGGATCCACTGAATGCAATGGAAAAAAGTCTAAATGAACAGGTAAGTAGTGTACAACAATCACAACTTCACAATATTAAATAAATATAAAACAAATATTTACTTATATTTATTATACTTAAAACATAAAATCAATATTTAAAAAAAAAGAGATAACAGTTAGATTTCATATCGAAAAAATTTAGGAATTTATTTAGATCAATAAAGGTTACCTGTGCAGGATAGGAACCTAGTTGAATATAATAATTGGTTATAAATGTAAACTTACTTGTACAGATGCCACACACGCCGCACACTCCTCACACGCCGGGCTCAGCCCATACCCCGGGTGGCGGCGGCGCACACACGCCTGGCTCCAGTCACACACCGGGCCCTCCCTCTGTGGACCACCATCCTCTCACTGACGTTGACATTCCAGCAGATCTAAACTTTGATCCCGCAGCTGTAATAGATGGCGAGGGCACTGATAACTTAAATGTAAGTAGATGTATATTAGAAAAAACATTGTTAACATACACAATTTTATGTAAAATTAAAAAGATGTTGAACTCATCAGCAAACACAATTTACAACAGTAGGCGGCTCAATATTTTGCTGCGCAGGTTTATCAGTTCAATATTTACAATTTAATTCTATCCCAAAATATATTATTTAATTATGTTACAGTTGCTTCCTGAGACAAGCGTCGATCCGATGGAACTGCTCTCGTACTTGGATGCGCCAGCGCTAGGAGAGCTATTGGCAACACCGCCGTCGTCATCTTCTTCGGCAGGCTCGCACCCGCCGAGAGCACCATCCTCTGATGACTTGCTGGCCCTTTTTGAGTGAACTAGAAACATTAAATGAGGGCAATCTAAACCCAACGAATGAAAACTATTGTGAGGTGATGCGATCTCTTTAGTCATTCAGCTTCCGCGTGTGTGCCGTGTACGGCGAAAATCCAGCTCTTCGTAAAGGGAGCCCGACATTGTGATACTAGATTTTAGTTCCTTCTCCAACAGTGAAAACGTTGAGTGTCGCATATTTTTACCAGACGAATTTGAAGTTCTTGTAAATTCTCTATTACAATTCATATCTGAGTAAAGAAAGCGGCATTCGACATAGTCACGATAGTGTCTTGTTAAAACAACGGCGCAGGAGAAATTTAATAGATATAATATTATAGGTAATATTGTATTGAGGCGAGATGTGGGCCGCGCATGCCAGGCACTGCGGTGTTGTGCATGTATAGTTCCTCGCACTGCCGCACTTACGGTGGCGCACCTAAGCTCCCTATATTCTAAACTGTAGTTTAAATGTAACACAAATTAATGATATATTAATTCAACTTCTTATTCGATTTGATAATATTATTATGAATTAAAGTCTTTGATTTGTGTCCATATTTTGTGAATAGTTCACCACATGTAAATAAAAGAATATATTTTATTCATATTCGTTATTTCGGTAACATACAGGACGTCGCACCGCCTGTACATATAAAATAAAGCATCGCGACGGTCGCGGGAGGCAGCATGAATCTTATAGTTCCTATTTAATGCGAGCGAACTATAATGTTCAATTGCCGTTTAATGTAAGATATTCATTGACGTTTTCGCATATTCTGCATTTTTAAATGGTAAGGTATAGAATACGTGAGTATAGCGCTACTCGCTTTTTGGGTGATATATTCTAAATGAATTGTTTCAAATCAACAAATTGTAACGAATTAGTTGTTACAAATCTATATTGTAAATGTGAGTGCAAAATTGAACTCTGTTAAATTATTTTGCGTTATGTGAATCGAAGAATGATAGAAATATATTTTAATTTCTATAAAAGAGTAATGAACTGTATTATTTGTAAATAAGAATCTAGTTAAGAATATTATATTATCTAGTTTTATCTAGAAAAACATGGCAGATACTTATATGATGGCCAGTTTTAGTGTAGTATTAATAAATTAAAAATCTACACATGGTTTTACATGTACATACAAATTACAAGTACCATATACATGTCTTCATGCGTTCAGAGTGCAAGACATCAAACCTCACTCAAAGTATTAAATAAAATAATATTAATAGAAAAATTGGATGGCTCAATATTAGATTTTTTATTATGTTTCTGCGCCTAATAAGTATCAGATAAATCAATAAAAATTATTTACAAGAAACACTTTTTTCATAATTATTAAGTTACTCATTTAAATCAGCTTACTTGTTCTGTACTCTGAAACGCTTCTTCTTTTATAGTTCTGAATCTAAGGTATTAGTAGATTTTCTCAATCTTTGCTCATCTTAATTCCATATTGTCCATAAATTTTTGATGCATGATCCATAACTGAAAGCAATAATCAATAGATACATACAAACATATATATACACACATATATATAACTATCTTTAGATGTTATGTTAAAATATATAGTTTTATTCACTGTTGAGTAACTGATATATAATAAGAAAATTGTGATGAGCATAGTATTGATGATATACATATTTCACGTATTTTCAAATGTTTGGTTCTTCTTAGATATTTTGTTTGGAAATTTTTGTAATGTTACTTTTAAATAAAAAAATCATGACTAATTTATAACATTTCAAAATCTAAATGGAATTAAGTTCCCATAAAATTTCCCATTTTGGATAAATATTTTATATTCATGAACAGTTAAAAATAAAGGGTCAATAGGTATGTACTATTAAATAACATCATGTACCCTCTCACCCTAACCTTATGTGAATTTATATAAAGTTTTTAATCATTTCATTTAAAAAAATGTTCAACAATACCTTTCTTCTTAAATTTGAAGAGCAGTTTATAAATAATCTGTAACTTAGGAGTTGTATGTAAAACTACTCACTAACTTTTGTAAAAATTGGTGATTTGTGCATCTTTTACTTTGTGCTATGAATATGGACGCCTCTTTAGAGTTAGTCAACTTTTATGAAAATCAATATAATAAGTCTTGTATAAAGCCGTGGTCAATTATTCAATAAAATAAAAACATTCATTACATACAATGAGATTCAGTAAAGTTAATAAGTCTAGTTGATCACAGCTTTTTAACTTTAAAATACATACTTTTAAGGGACCTTCAATTCCAGTTAGCTAGTTCTATTTATTGTAGTGAATATTGCCATTGGATGGATTAACACATTGATTTTTGTGTGACCAAACCATACTTTTTTACACATTTACCTCTCTAGGGTAAATATTTAATTTGTTTATACAAAATCAAAAATATCATAAAAAATGTATAGCATATCAGATGAACAGAAAACAAAAATCAAATTGTAAGATTCATCCAAGAGTGTAAATTATTACAATATATTTTGTTGAATATTGTAATGAACTACTGTCAAGTAAAGTAGATTTTGTGCTCATACAATCTAAAGAAACAGCATTTGGAAATAAGTGAAGAAAAATAATTTGGTACAGAACCATGACTAAAAGAGTTCATGAAAAGCCAAACTGTACTTTAGTAGTAAAAATTAATCTTACATGATCATTTTAAATCAGGTTGGTATCCACTGGAATTCATTTTGAAATGTGTAAAATGGGAAAACATAACATTTTTATGTTATTGAAAATAAAATGAATCTAAAACATTAATACAGATCTTTTATTTTTTTATGACATACTTTGTTCAAATATGTGTGTAATAACAAAGAATAACATTATAAAACATAATTTTATTAAATTATATACAAAAAAACAAATCTAAAGTTAGTACCTAGAAAGGTCTTCATAATCAAAGTTGAAAGCATAGTTAAAAATATCGATCTTGTATCTAAAACAGTCAAATTATTTACTAAATTCAGCAGCATAATATTTAATAAATAAAATAAGTACCCTGAAAATATATCCTGCAATAGGTTCATAACACATAGATAGTAGTAGTTGATAACACGAGAACTTAATAATAATTTAAATTCTCAGTACGAACCATGGATGGAAAATAAAACCATGGCACGAACTACCAGCACAATTAATAGAACCAGTCAATCAAGAAATTCACAGGAAAAACTTTTATTTCAATTTTATAATTTATTGGTACGAGTGGTGACTGGTGACATATAAGACATTAGCATTTTGAAACTAGACAGTTGTCAGTTCCTGTTCAAGAGGGAAGATTTCTTGAAAGGAGGGCTCTACACGTATGGCCTATTTACATTCAGTCTGAGGTTATTAAGCAATTTATTGTGATATCTCTTTTGTACCTAGCTTTTGCTTTTATTATATTCACATCTTACCTGTGCAAATTACAATGTATTGTACCTGGAAGTTGGACCAGCTGAAGGAAGAATTGAGAAGGAGAGTTGCATCCTGTGGTGGTACTGGCTGACTGATGGATCAACATACAGCCTAAACCGCTCGTCGTAGGAACGTGAAATTTGGAGGACGTAAATTCCTTATATGATGTAGACATCCGATAAGAAAGGATTTTTTGAAATTCATCCCCTAAGTGTGTAAAATAGGGGATTAAATATTATATGACACTGTCATTCGTAATGTGAAATACACAGAAAGTGGCTTTAAGATGAAAAATAAGAAATGTATTTATTTGATTTTTTCGAAATTCATCGCCTAAAAGGGTAAAAGAGGGTAATAAAGTTCTTATGGGCAAAAGATTATTTATGATCAATTCAATAGGGAATAGGCGTGATTTTTTTGATTTTTGTATGCAACGCCAACATCGTTATATCATTGTAAAAAAATATCCAGCTCCAAAAAACTAAACTATAGTATAAAAAAAATTAAAATATCATACCGATACGAATACTTTAATCGGCTGCCATTGTGACGTCACAGTATGTTATACCCAGAAAAATGACTAGGTACTCAATTTGCAGTGACAAAATCGCTAATCACTCTATTATGTTAATACTATGACGTCATATTCGGTCTGATCAATGGCGTGTTTCAACTAATTTGAATTTCCCACCTGTATCTGCACTTTTTAATAATTATTTTCTTAATCAAAAGGAAATTTCATTAAAAAATATTGATATAGGTTTAATTCAAAAGCAACAAAGGTTATAAAAGAATATATTTCAACTTTATTTAAATCACACGTATGTTCCTTTTTGAAAGAGAGTCATGTATTCAACTCGTAAGGAAGCTACCGATGGCTCAGAAAGCAGTTCTGCTGAGAAGAGCCGGCGAGAATCTCTAGTTGCTCTTTTAAACATTGAGTTACATTTTTTTAATATAACATTATAGTTAGCCCGCATATGAACCAATATTGAATAAAATTATTATTACATGTACAATTCCATCAACACGAAACTTTTGAACAGATCACTATGCAATAGGTATATTTTTAATTTTATCTGATTTTTTTTATTATTTTCTTCTATACCTATTGTAAATGTTACGCGTTTTTTTTTCAACAAACTTCAAAAAGGAGGAGGTTATCAATTCGGCTGTATTTATGTACCTTAGGATTTCGTCATTTATTAACTTATTTGGACAATTTTTATTTTGTTGAAAAGTGTACACTTCCAATTCGGTCCCATTTAAATTTGAAAAATATTACCACTCACAATAAGGCTAAGGGTGGTATAACTGCTAATTGTCATTTAATATATAATGTCATTGTCATTCATGTCATTTAATAATTGTAATTGTAATTTCTAATTGTCATATTGACTTACGACTTTGCAAGTGTTTTTGTTTCCGTTAATAGTGCAGTTGTTCGGCATCATCGACCTGATCTGATGGAAAGGTCAGAAGGTGGATAGTTGGAACTTTTCAACGTCTAATTGTAGAATTATTTAAATTTTTCTCCAAAATTGATCCATTGAAAAAGTGTACTTTATAAACCACATTTTTAACTT